CTGCTTGGGTCTGTGGCGGTGTACGCCACGCTAGTGTATCCCACGACAAAGAAAGATCCAGAGCTCTGTGAGGCCGCAACGCTGGCTACACCGATGGGCTCGGTCCAGCTGACGGTAGTTGGGCTGCTACCGAAGGGGACGGTCTCGTCGATGTTGCTTGGCCAGTTGAGGAAGGATGGTCGGGTGCCATCCTTTCCTGGATAAATCGTTGCTTGATGAATCATAATGAAGCAAGAATATCTCTTTAAATGGCATATCACCTTTACACTTTTCCCCTGATCTGTACTGAGCATTGGTCTAAATCAGGACATTCAAAGAGAAGACTGATAAGAAAAAAATTCTATGGTACCAGTTTAGTCAGTACCCTCGTTATTTGTCCCCTTGCAACTCCTACCAATAACACTGCATGGCTCTGTCTTTCTAATGATCTATACCTATGCTAACTTACATATTTTTGGCATGCAGAGATGAGTTGCAATACATTTTACAGGCAGATTAATAGCCTCTTGCTAAACATGTTATGGAGTGGAGTTTACTAATACGAGTTCTCCTTAATTCATATAAGACATGGCCCAGATTATATTATTGCAGTCTGTGCATTTAATAGAAGCCTACGTACCAAGATTGACAACGATATTAAAGGTAATACAAAGTTTTGGTATGGGGTCATGAATTTGGTTCAAATGAACATATTGGAAGCATATGCGACCCTACAATATTCAGTGATCGTTGTCCTGGTTGAAATCGAGTCTTAAGTTATGAAATTGTCGATAATAAACTCTTTATGTTGTATAGCTCTCTCTCAAGGTCAAGATATTAATTAAGCTATAAAACAATGTTTCCGGACCAAAATCGACCGATTTGCTATTCCCATTTGGAAATTATATATCACAACTACATATTCTGAGATTTGCATGGTCGCAGCTACCATTGTACAGCCGTAGGTGCTATTTGAAATTTATCAAAATTTACCATGAGCACCGGTAAATTTTTATATTCAATTTTCTTGAAAGCAGAAGTGTTTCAGGTGCTAAATTTTCTAGTGCTTATAATACATCCACAGGGGCATCCAAATATATCAAAATTGTAAAGAATCACTATCCACCCAATTTTCAAAATTTCCCAAACCTTGTATTACCTTTAAAGGAACATTATCCAACGTTGCTGAGGAAATCAGTCGCGGTGTGAGTGATGGTGGGGAAAGAGGAGCTGGAGTTGAAGTTGCTAGTGACGGTGGCCACACCCAAGATATTGGTAAAGATGGGTTTCGGTCCAGGTGATAGTCTGGGATGCAGGGCAATTGGAGGTGACTGGGGCTGTGATGTCTAAGGAAAATCAACAAGTTTATTACAATAATATTAAGAGCTTAATTTCAACACTTTCGTTATGATCTTCGCTCGTTTGTCACATATGCTATTTTGCACAAACCGATAAGTACAAAATGAAAATTAAAGATGATTTTGATTTCGGTTAGGTTCCTTTGGTCCAGAGTTGAAGTTTAGAATTATGATAAGGTAGCTTAGCGAATTGTAGGGGTAGAAAAGAAGCAACTGAAATGCAAAATGACTTCAGTTACTTGCTCACTCTGTTCTATTGGTTTGTTTGTTACCCTTTATTGCCTTCATAGTCATACTCCTTTATTTTGTAAAATACCTAAAAAAAATTGTTTGGCTGATCTTATATATTCCAGTGATACCCAATATTTTTATTCTTCAGGCGATTGGTACACTTTAACACGTGTATGTATCTGAGTTTTCTAAAACATCAACATTTTTGCATTTATCTTTACTCCCTTTCAACCACAATCTCTTCTTAACACAAGTTCCCACCTATCTGTGACGGTGACAGAGAAAGAGCAGCTTTCGAAGTTGCTGCTTGCGTCTGTGGCGGTGTAGGCCACGTTAGTGTATCCCACGACAAAGAAAGATCCAGAGCTCTGTGAGGCCGCAACTCTGGCTACACCAATGGGCTCGGTCCAGCTGACGGTAGTTGGGCTGCTACCGAAGGGGACGGTCTCGTCGATGTTGCTTGGCCAGTTGAGGAAGGATGGTCGGGTGCCATCCGTTCCTGGATAAATTGTTCCTTGATGAATCATAATGAAGCAAGAATATCTCTTTAAATGGCATATAACCTTTACACTTTTCCCCTGATCTGTACTGAGCATAAACAAGTACTTGTATTTCGGTAGCAAGATTACACTTGTTATGGGGCACACATGGAACCCAAGTCGGACTTCAGTTCTTTGCTCACTCTGTTCTATTGGTTTGTTTGTTACCCTTTATTGCCTTCATAGTCATACTCCTTTATTTTGTAAAATACCTTAAAAAAAATTGTTCGGCTGATCTTATATATTCCAGTGATACCCAATATTTTTATTCTTCAGGCGATTGGTACACTTTAACACGTGTATGTATCTGAGTTTTCTAAAACATCAACATTTTTGCTTCTATCTTTACTCTCTTTCAACCACAATCTCTTCTAAACACAAGTTCCCACCTACCTGTGACGGTGACAGAGAAAGAGCAGCTTTCAAAGTTGCTGCTTGCGTCTGTGGCGGTGTAGGCCACGTTAGTGTATCCCACGACAAAGAAAGATCCAGAGCTCTGTGAGGCCGCAACTCTGGCTACACCAATGGGCTCGGTCCAGCTGACAGTAGTTGGGCTGCTACCGAAGGGGACGGTCTTGTCGATGTTGCTTGGCCAGTTGAGGAAGGATGGTCGGGTGCCATCCGTTCCTGGATAAATCGTTCCTTGATGAATCATAATGAAGCAAGAATATATCTTTAAATGGCATATAACCTTTACACTTTTCCCCTGATCTGTACTGAGCATAGGTCTAAATCAGGACATTCAAAGAGAAGACTGATAAGAAAAATTCCTATGGTACCATTTTAGTCAGTACCCTCGATATTTGTCCATTTGCAACTCCTACCAATAACACTGCATGGCTCTGTCTTTCTAATGATCTATACCTATGCTAACTTACATATTTTTGGCATGTTAGCGTATTCCACGACAAAGAAAGATCCAGAGCTCTGTGGGGCCGCAATGCTGGCTACACCAATGGGCTCGGTCCAGCTGACGGTAGTTGGGCTGCTACCGAAGGGGACGGTCTCGTCGATGTTGCTTGGCCAGTTGAGGAAGGATGGTCGGGTGCCATCCGTTCCTGGATAAATCGTTCCTTGATGAATCATAATGAAGCAAGAATATATCTTTAAATGGCATATAACCTTTACACTTTTCCCCTGATCTGTACTGAGCATTGGTCTAAATCAGGACATTCAAAGAGAAGACTGATAAGAAAAAATTCTATGGTACCAGTTTAGTCAGTACCCTCTATATTTGTCCCCTTGCAACTCCTACCAATAACACTGCATGGCTCTGTCTTTCTAATGATCTATACCTATGCTAACTTACATATTTTTGGCATACAGAGAGGAGTTGCAATACATTTTACAGGCAGATTAATAGCCTCTTGCTAAACATGTTATGGAGTGGAGTTTACTAATACGAGTTCTCCTTAATTCATATAAGACATGGCCCAGATTATATTATTGCAGTCTGTGCATTTAATAGAAGCCTACGTACCAAGATTGACAACGATATTAAAGGCAATACAAAGTTTTGGTATGGGGTCATGAATTTGGTTCAAATGAACATATTGGAAGCATATGCGACCCTACAATATTCAGTGATCGTTGTCCTGGTTGAAATCGAGTCTAAAGATATGAAATTGTCGATAATAAACTCTTTATGTTGTATAGCTCTCTCTCAAGGTCAAGATATTAATTAAGCTATAAAACAATGTTTCCGGACCAAAATTGACCGATTTGCTATTCCCATTTGGAAATTATATATCACAACTACATATTCTGAGATTTGCATGGTCGCAGCTACCATTGTACAGCCGTAGGTGCTATTTGAAATTTATCAAAATTTACCATGAGCACCGGTAAATTTTTATATTCAATTTTCTTGAAAGCAGAAGTGTTTCAGGTGCTAAATTTTCTAGTGCTTATAATACATCCACAGGGGCATCCAAATATATCAAAATTGTAAAGAATCACTATCCACCCAATTTTCAAAATTTCCCAAACCTTGTATTACCTTTAAAGGAACATTATCCAACGTTGCTGAGGAAATCAGTCGCGGTGTGAGTGATGGTGGGGAAAGAGGAGCTGGAGTTGAAGTTGCTAGTGACGGTGGCCACACCCAAGATATTGGTAAAGATGGGTTTCGGTCCAGGTGATAGTCTGGGATGCAGGGCAATTGGAGGTGACTGGGGCTGTGTTGTCTAAGGAAAATCAACAAGTTTATTACAATAATATTAAGAGCTTAATTTCAACACTTTCGTTATGATCTTCGCTCGTTTGTCACACATGCTATTTTGCACAAACCCATAAGTACAAAATGAAAATTAAAGATGATTTTGATTTCGGTTAGGTTCCTTTGGTCCAGAGTTGAAGTTAAGAATTATGATAAGGTAGCTTAGCGAATTGTAGGGGTAGAAAAGAAGCAACTGAAATGCAAAATGACTTCAGTTACTTGCTCACTCTGTTCTATTGGTTTGTTTGTTACCCTTTATTGCCTTCATAGTCATACTCCTTTATTTTGTAAAATACCTAAAAAAAATTGTTCGGCTGATCTTATATATTCCAGTGATACCCAATATTTTTATTCTTCAGGCGATTGGTACACTTTAACACGTGTATGTATCTGAGTTTTCTAAAACATCAACATTTTTGCATTTATCTTTACTCCCTTTCAACCACAATCTCTTCTTAACACAAGTTCCCACCTATCTGTGACGGTGACAGAGAAAGAGCAGCTTTCGAAGTTGCTGCTTGCGTCTGTGGCGGTGTAGGCCACGTTAGTGTATCCCACGACAAAGAAAGATCCAGAGCTCTGTGAGGCCGCAACGCTGGCTACACCAATGGGCTCGGTCCAGCTGACGGTAGTTGGGCTGCTACCGAAGGGGACGGTCTCGTCGATGTTGCTTGGCCAGTTGAGGAAGGATGGTCGGGTGCCATCCGTTCCTGGATAAATCGTTGCTTGATGAATCATAATGAAGCAAGAATATCTCTTTAAATGGCATATAACCTTTACACTTTTCCCCTGATCTGTACTGAGCATAAACAAGTACTTGTATTTCGGTAGCAAGATTACACTTGTTATGGGGCACACATGGAACCCAAGTCGGACTTCAGTTCTTTGCTCACTCTGTTCTATTGGTTTGTTTGTTACCCTTTATTGTCTTCATATAGTCATACTCCTTTATTTTGTAAAATACCTAGAAATTTTTGTTCGGCTGATCTTATATATTCCAGTGATACCCAATATTTTTATTCTTCAGGCGATTGGTACACCTTAACACGTGTATGTATCTGAGTTTTCTAAAACATCAACATTTTTGCTTCTGTCTTTACTCTCTTTCAACCACAATCTCTTCTAAACACAAGTTCCCACCTACCTGTGACAGTGACAGAGAAAGAGCAGCTTTCAAAGTTGCTGCTTGCATCTGTGGCGGTGTAGGCCACGTTAGTGTATCCCACGACAAAGAAAGATCCAGAGCTCTGTGAGGCCGCAACGCTGGCTACACCAATGGGCTCAGTCCAGCTGACAGTAGTTGGGCTGCTACCGAAGGGGACGGTCTCGTCGATGTTGCTTGGCCAGTTGAGGAAGGATGGTCGGGTGCCATCCGTTCCTGGATAAATCGTTCCTTGATGAATCATAATGAAGCAAGAATATCTCTTTAAATGGCATATAACCTTTACACTTTTCCCCTGATCTGTACTGAGCATAGGTCTAAATCAGGACATTCAAAGAGAAGACTGATAAGAAAAATTCCTATGGTACCATTTTAGTCAGTACCCTCGATATTTGTCCATTTGCAACTCCTACCAATAACACTGCATGGCTCTGTCTTTCTAATGATCTATACCTATGCTAACTTACATATTTTTGGCATGTTAGCGTATTCCACGACAAAGAAAGACCCAGAGCTCTGTGGGGCCGCAACGCTGGCTACACCAATGGGCTCGGTCCAGCTGACGGTAGTTGGGCTGCTACCGAAGGGGACGGTCCCGTCGATGTTGCTTGGCCAGTTGAGGAAGGATGGTCGGGTGCCATCCGTTCCTGGATAAATCGTTCCTTGATAAATCATAATGAAGCAAGAATATCTCTTTAAATGGCATATCGTCTTTACACTTTTCCCCTGATCTGTACTGAGCATAGGTCTTAATTAGGACATTCAAGGAGAAGACTGATAAGAAAAATTCCTATTGTTCCATTTTAGTCAGTACCCTCTATATTTGTCCCCTTGCAACTCCTACCAATAACACTGCATGGCTCTGTCTTTCTAATGATCTATACCTATGCTAACTTACATATTTTTGGCATACAGAGAGGAGTTGCAATACATTTTACAGGCAGATTAATAGCCTCTTGCTGAACATGTTATGGAGTAGAGTTTACTAATACGAGTGCTCCTAAATTCATAAAAGCAGGGCCCAGATTTTATTATTGCAGTCTGTGCATTTAATAGAAGCCTACGTACCAAGATTGACAACGATATTAAAGGAACATTATCCAACGTTGTGGTGTAAGTGACGGTAGGGAAAGAGGAGCCGGAGTTGAAGTTGCTGGTGACCACACCTGAGCTATCAGTAAAGATGGGTTTCGGTCCAGGTGATAGTCTAGGAAGTAGGGCAGTTGGAGGTGACTGGGGCTGTGTTGTCTTAGGAAAATAAACAAGTTTATTAGAATGATATTTAGAGCTTATTTTCAACACTTTAGTTATATACGATCTTCGCTCGTTTGTCACACATGCTATTTTGCACTTAACGATAGGTACAAAATGAAAATCAAAGACGATTCTGATTTCAGTTAGCTTCTAGTGTTAGGTTTCATTGGTCCAGAGTTGAAGTTTAGAATTATGAAAAGGTAGCTTAGCGAATTGTAGGGGTAGAAAAGACGCAACTGTAACGCAAAATGACTTCAGTTCCTTGCTCACTCTGTTATATTGGTTTGTTTGTTACCCTTTATTATCTTAATAGTCATACTCCATTATTTTGTAAAATACCTAGAAATTTTTGTTCGGCTGATCTTATATATTCCAATGATACTCAAGATTTGTTTTTCTTCAGGCGATTGGTACACTTGAACGCGTGTATGTATTTGAGTTTTCTAAAACATCAACATTTTTGCTTGTATCTTTACTCCCTTTCAACCACAATCTCTTTTAACACAAGTTTCCACCTACCTGTGACGGTGACAGAGAAAGAGCAGCCTTTGAAGTTGCCGCTTGGGTCTGTGGCGGTGTACACCATGTAAGTGTATTCCACGGCAAAGAAAAATCCAGAGCTCTGTGGGGCCGCAACGCTGGCTACACCAATGGGCTCGGTCCAGCTGACGGTAGTTGGGCTGCTACCGAAGGGGACGGTCTCGTCAATGTTGCTTGGCCAGTTGAGGAAGGATGGTCGGGTGCCATCTGTTCCTGGATAAATCGTTCCTTGATGAATCATAATGAAGCAAGAATATCTCTTTAAATGACATATCACCTTTATACACTTTTCTCCCGATCTGTACTGAGCATAGGTCTAAATCAGGACATTCAAAGAGAAGACTGATAACAAAAATTCCTATGGTACCCAAAATATAAAATAGTTCTAGTCAGTACCCTCGTTATTTCTCCCCTTGCAACTTCTACCAATAACACAGCTTAGCTCTGTCTTTCTAACAATCCATACCTAGCTGTGTAGGTGACCTCAGTAGATCCAACAGCAATGGAACTGCCTTGTAGTTGATTGACCGTCAGGGAAACGGAGTCTGAGTTGTCTGATGCCACAGGAGCCAGCCATAAAACCACCGGGGTCGAGGTACCAGGGCTGGCATTGGCGACGATGTCGGTTAAACAGCTGGTCAGGACGGGGTTCTCTCTGTCGATGACCACTGTGACAAAGAAATTGGATGAAAATGATGTCAGAGATAGGGAATATGTACATGCAGCCTCCATTTTCAAAAAATATAAGTTGCTTCCTCTATCCAGAGATACAGTGTACATTCATCTTCTCAGATTTGGTACAAATTTGAATCATTTCACTACCTACATTTTTACAATTCTAATCTGCTCATGAAACACAGACAAATGCCAAACATAGCAACATGTTTATATGCAGAAAAAATTTGAACCAAACAATTGCTGTAATAGAGTAAAGTGTTAACGTCATGTTCACTTGTCGTCCGGGTTACTGGTTTTAAACAGAGCCCGTCAATGAGGTTCAAGGCACAATCATTCACACAACAAGCTAGAGCAGGGCAAAGTCAGTGTTTGGCACCGGTGTGATCACCACATCATGGTTTAGCACAAATTGTTTGTAACCAGCAACCTTGACAACTTGGCTAGTATGACGTCACACCTTGGTACTCTATACATAAATGGGTCAGTTAAAGCAAGTATTTTTTTCAAAGCAAGATTTCACAATAATGTCTTACACTCCCAAAACAAATCAAAAACAAACAAAAACTAGACATATAATACTTGTTTGGAACAAGTATAGGTGGGCTGGTCAACTAAAATTTGAGACAAAATAGAGCAAAAATAAGCGACATACTGCTTAGAAATTCTTAAAAAACAATATCATGTAGATTCATAACGTGAATTAAAATCACCTTCTATAGGCATAACATGCAAATTATGTCACTTTTGACAAAAGGCCTTTAATCGAAATTTTCACTCTAATGACGTCATCAAAATGAAAAATGGTTATTATTAAACATGTAGAAAATTATCATAGCTACAACATATCGAAATTTGGAAGAAAATTGATCAATATACAGAGATACAATCAATTTTCCATAAATATGCTGACGTCATAATATGCAAATTCCTAGTTTTAGTTCGAAGGTCATTATGATGATGTCACGATACACTTAATGGCCAAATGAGACATGGAATCATATCTCCGACTCATACTCTATCCAAATATGAAAAAAAATTGAAGGTCACGGTTCATTCCAAAGAGCTATAATGAATTTTGTATAGGCATGTTTTTTCCCATATATGCTATGTATTAAAAGCGCTCGCGCGCACTGTCATTTATCTTGAATTGACGCTCATCTTGTTATTAATGGTCATAAAGAGATAAACATGGTATCAAATTCCTTGAAAAAATATGAGAAATATCATGAAAGAAAAAAAATGGCGATTCTATGTTTTGTAATGGTGTTACGCGCGACAACGCGCGCGCAATTTTTTATGAAATGCTTAAAATGACCTGAAACGTATGCAAAAATAATTTAAGACGATTTTGAGCATTTAAAATTTTTGCGCGCGTATTGATGCGCGGACGTACGCACACTCGCGCGTTTTTTGACCTGAATTTGACCGGACTGATATTGACCTTAATCATGATAAATATAAATGAGAAATTATATTTGGTTATGAAGATATGATCACGAGTTGATTTTCAAAAAATTTCATAAAATAGCGCCTAGATGACGTCATCAGTCAAAAATTTGCTGTGTTTTGTGAATATGCCTATACATATGTGTGTTAAATTTTAAGATATTTGATTGAGCCATTTTCAAATCATCTTGCACACAAAAAAGTGGGTCGAAATAAGAAAAATAAATAAATAAATAAATAAATAAAGGCGATTTTAACAAAAATATAAGGTGGTCTGTATTAGATACAGCCCACCTGATAATTAAAAGAAAATCACTGACCTCCACTTGAAGTGACAGTGACTTTAAAGCTGCATGTCGAGTAGAAACTAGCGTTATCGATAAGGTAATAGATGACCAGATAAGTGCTAACATCAAAGGAATCACCAGGCGAGAAGTTACTGACTGCTGTGATGGGTTCTGAGGCGTCCGTAGCTGTAGAGGCGTCCCAGGAGGCCGTGGCACTGCTGGCACAGGACGCAGCCTGGACGAAGACGTTACAGGGACAAAACGTGATCTCTGGGGCGGTAGTGTCGCTGCCTTTTGTGGTGGAGGTCGAATTCAGTTTAACTTTTATTTATTAATGTAATGAAGATTAGGTCTGAGAAAGCTTCAATCAGAGAAAGTGAAAATGCTCCAAAGATGATTACAGATAGTCCGTGGTCAAATTTTCTACATCAACCAAATCCCGAATTCAGCTCAGGACCAAACACTATATCTAATGCTCACTTAGTTAAAAAAACTAACCTTGAACTCAATACCAACCCTAATCTTAATCTTCAACAAAATAAAGTCTGGAGTAGTTTAGATTAACAGCTAAGGATCACCTTGTGATACGATTGAAATATCTAAAATGTCAAATGTGAAAGAGCTTTATTTTAATTGCTTCATGGTAACTATAATAAATAGGAATCACTTGTGTTTCAACCAACGGTAGACCTTTGCTGTATACATGGTCAATCAAAGTATCACCTTCAGTGGTTGATTGCTTTACATGTTGTGTATAGCCATGATTACACATCAAGTCTTGTATTCTAGATGACTGTTTTAATAAGTTATCATTGAAGTCGCCCATTACAATACATTTTGTACCCACTTTATGTAGCTCTTCTAATAAGTTATTCAAACACTCACAGAAGTCTTTCATTCTGTATGTCGGAGGGCGATAAACAACTGCAATGACAACAGAAACAGGACAGGTTATAAGAAAAGCAATAAACTCTAGATTATCAATCTTTATATCAAGTCTGCTTGAAAATTCATTCTTGCTATAAACTGCAACACCTCCATGTGACTGGTCCTTGAACTGTTGCCTTGAGTCACTTGTGATAGAATAAGAGTTATATCTTGATTGATGATACAATTTGAAATGAGCTAAGCATATTTCAAAAGCATCATCCTTATCCGATAGCCATGTTTCAGTCAAACAAATAATATCAGAATTCAGGAATGTTGGATTGCATTGTAAGTCTACATAATGTTGTTTTAATCCTTGAATATTGTGCAACATTATGCATAAACCATCATCATATGTTTCCTCTGCTATAGAAGTTTCCAAGAAATTGGTCATATCATTAAGGTGTTTTTTAATCTTTGGATCACAGTATATAACTTTTGGATGAAAATCTTCAATGGTAAGTCCAGATAAAGAAGTTACACGACTCAGGCCTACATAGCTATGTCCAGATGCAAATATTTTTTTCAGTGATACTACTACTTTATTTAAAGTCATGCCTTGTACTTTGTGAACCGTGCAAGCATAAGCCAGTTTGAGGGGAAATTGCTTTCTTGTGTAATTTTTACCCATTGATTCTTCATACATTTTGATCGATTGAATGCCAATTTTCTGGCTATCAAATTTTACACTGATGCAGTATGGCTTGGATTCGTTGTTTCGTTTTACTATTTCTGCAACTGTACCTATACATCCATTTGTCAAACCTATATTGGTATCAATATTTTTTAAAAGCATCACCCTGGCATTCAAAGCAATTGACAGATTGCGAGGCAAAGAACTTTGACCAGATTTACATGGTTCGGTACATATTTCGTCATTATCCTTGCTGTTATTTCTGTCTTCAGCTTTAACACATATAATATCTTCACATTTGCTGTGCAACATTCTGCTATTCCATTCATTTACTTGTTTATTAGTTGAATAGATGTGCATATCTTCTTCACATTCTTCACCAGTTTCACGAGAGGTAAGGATGGATAAATCTGCATCTGATAAAGTGTCTTTCTTTTCCTTAACTCTCAATCTATTCAAGAGTAGAGCAAATGCCAAATCTTCCTTTTGTCTCATTATTTCAACCAGTTCTACCTTTTGAAATTTTCAGACCACAGCGATTGTTCTACCGATTCCTTATACAAGGGTGTTCCTTTCACAGGTGGTAATTGATAAAAATCTCCAACTGCCAATACCGAAACGTTACCGAATGGACAATCAGTGCGTGATTGCTTAATTTGTCTTAATCGACCGTGTATGTAGTACAACAATTTGGAATCTACCATGGAAATTTCATCTATGATCAAAATTTGCAACTGTCCAAGCTTATTACGAAGGGTGTTAATTCTTTCTTCACCAAGTGGTCGATAAGGAAATTTGGCGTTGATTGGAACTGAGAGTGCACTGTGAATTGTAGATCCATCTATATTGAATGCAGCTATGCCAGTTGGTGCAACTTTCAAGATTGAAATGTCATCAGGATTAACCATCATTTTACCAAGTATGCGTACAGCTTCGTGGTATATACATTTTATTAAATAAGATTTTCCTGTTCCTGCACCACCACTAATAAGTACATGAAAAGGTTGACTTTCTGTACCATTCACTTTCTCTAAGCACCATTGTCTAATTTTGTAAAAGATTTCTTTTTGCTCATTGTTTAAACATCGAATCAAACTATTTGATTCATGTTTTGAAATTCCATGGCTTCGAAATTCCACACTAGAAGTTTCATTCTTTTTTTCATGTTTGAAATCTGGAATGTCCAATTCACATTCTGGTTCATCCATTTCAACTTTGTTCTTAGGATTTTCTAGTCTTTCTTTTTCACTTTCAGGACATAAAAGAGCCCACGCATCTTCTGGAGAACCAAATTTGTCCATGAAAAGTTCAGCTTGTTCAATGGCTCTTGAATTTCTTTCGTACTCTTTACAATGTTTGTCTACTATTGATTTTACACTTTCCAAATTGCCTCCCTGTAGTTTGACATTACCTGTTTTATAAAATTCCTGATATGTCTCAAACTGTGGTGGTTTTAACTGCTCATCATTACTAAATGGCAGGAAAAGTTGCAATATACTGAGGTAATATTTTTCTGGAGAAAGTATTTTAGAAAATCGTGGATATCTTACGACAGCAACACTAGACCTTGTTCGTTTCTGAATGTATCCCGAATTATTTTTCAATTCAAATAAATATGGTGATGTTTTAGTGCCTTTCACTTGCGATGCAGTTAGTATTCTGTAGCATGCACAGAATTTTGCAAGACACATAGTGTCAAATTCACTTCCATTAGGTCTAGCTTTATATCGATCAAGTTTATTTGCCATCCATGGACTCCTATCATCATCATTATCGTCAGGTCTACTTTGAATAACATGTAAAGGTAAACTCATTCTAACAGGATTTGGACCAACCGGAATAAATTCGACTTTTCGTGAACACTCTTTTAATCGAAGGGAACATACACGATACACACTCTCCTGTGCAGATACTTCTCGATTTTGCATGTAGACATTTCCGAGCTGTCTGATACTTTTTCTTGCATCATGATTTCCCTCATTTATTTCAGATTGAGCATGGCTTAAGAGCATTCCCATTTCTCTCTCTGATTTTGAAATGTATGATACAATATATCTAACACATGCATAAACATCCATAACAAATTGTAAGTCCATATTTGCATTCCATGCTCTCAGTAGAAAAGGATTGTACTGATTTATCCATACATCTTTGGGGTCTCTTTTCTTGATCAAAATTTCTTGTTTAGCTAATAACCTAGTTGCAGTTTCAAATTCAGTCTGTGTTGTGTTACAATCTTTAAAAAGGTCCGAGACATTAGTGTAATTATTTTCCTGATTTACAGCGTTTTTGATAGATTCTAATAATTGTTTTGCACTATCAATTTCATCGGGATTACCCTCTTTGGGATAAAGTACACATGTTCTATCAGATGGTGGTCTTGGAAAATTGAACCGACATGTTTTTCCCTTCTTTTTACAAGATTTTGAATGCTTTTTGCTATGCTGCTGCACATGAGTGATTATTTCATGGAGTTCTGGATCTTCTTGTTCGGATGGTATCTTGCAAGAAATGTATTTATCAATGAAGGAAACTACTTCCTCATCTGAACTATATCCATGCTCTGGTGCATCCTTTACCCAGAATAAACAATGTGTGTGTGGAGATCCTCGCTGTTGGAATTCAACACGATAAAAATAATCTATTACATGACCAATGGGATGTGCTTCAGACAAAATAACATTTTTCAAAAAAGTGTGAAATCTTTTGTCAAACATCCTTGCAACAGTCACTGGATTCGACTTTAAAAGTTCACATTTATCTGTCCAATCTAGGTCATTGATTTTTCGTTTATCACCTCTTTCCATTAATAAAGTATTTAATACTTCAGGCCATCTCATGTCTGCTGCCGAGAAACTTGCAAACCATGTAGGTATACCAAGCTGTCTCACCATGGCTAATAAATCTTTTGTGTGGCAGACCAATATGGAGGAGAACCTCTTATCTGTTTCAGAAAGCGAAACCCTCTATCTGATTTTAATATGTCCTGAACTTTGTCAATTTGTTTTAAATCTTTGATAGTGATTGGTGCATCAGTATCACTTTTACTTGATGTTTTTCTCAATGCAATTGAAACACCGGACAAAACTTGTTGAATTTCATAAATGCACTGAGCATAAAAAATAAAATCTGTACTTTTAGCAAAGCGATTATCTACGTGCATTAGCCTATTTTGAAGATATCTTCCAAGGGTCACCCGTACACTTCTGAAATCATGATAAGTTGGTTGACCTTTTGGAAATAATACAGGAAAAGATTTAGGTTCATTGCTTTCATCTCTAAGAAGTGCTATGGGATTGTTGCCTTCACATGGAGCACAACAGAAAATATCATCAAAATGTTGATCCAGGATTTCTTGTCCAATATCAACTGGTTGCAAGCAGGTATCAAGTTGAATTCCATTTAACCTTGCTTCTTGGTCATCATTTTCCTGTTCTTCAAAGTTTTGAATTGAATCGTCATTGTCGTTTGTTTCTGCACTACACATTTCTCCTGACAACGAATTATTCCAGTTTTCATTGATACTTATATCAGAATACCACTTATTGTTTTTTTTCAAATAGTGCAACCCATTTAGCACCTTATTTTTATTAACAAATTTATACTCATGATGGCCCTTATAAGATATTTTCCTTTTCAATTTCACACGGATCAATTGATCTTCTCTTTCTGGTGGAGGTAGCATATTTACAGTTTTCATTGTATTCGAAGGCACACAAACAACTGGTCCATGAACTGCATTTTGACCTCCCTTAGGTAAACGAATTAATTTGAAAAAACTGATGTTACGTGCAATTAAATGTTGCTCTAAATTATTCAAGTCCTTCAATTCTTCTGGAATCTCATGCAATTGCAAACTGTTAACACTAGCCTCAGCCGGTAATTTATTCGTCAACAATTTTCTGTGGCATGTAAAGCATATCCATAAATGTCCACGAGATGAGTGCGCCAATTGACAGTTTTCATTACAGTGTGAATTGCAAATGTGTAAATAGGACTCATTCATACACGTTTTGTTTTGGTAATTTTGCTTAATGCATTTTAAGACTTGACTTTGAAAAAGCAATTTTAGGCATACACAACAGACATATTCTGGTCCATGAGAAATAACATTTCTGAAATTTCGTAGTACATTTTCTAATTTTTTGAAACTCATTTTCTTAAGTCCAGCACGTTCTTTATTTTTTCTGCGAGTCTCTGCCTATAATGCTGGTTAGAGTGATACTTATGTTTTATTTTTTGTTGTGTTCATCTCTAAATAATGTATTAGACTCATATTTTAATTTTATTTTCTTCTTGTGCTCATCTCTAAACAACATATTAGACTGATAGTCATGTTTTATTTTTTGTTTCATTTTTTTCTTGTGTTCATCTCTAAAGGATTTATTAGACTGATAGTCATGTTTTATTTTTTGTTTCATTTTTTTCTTATGTTCATCTCTAAAGGATTCATTAGACTCATATTTCAATTTTATTTTCTTCTTGTGTTCATCTCTAAACAATATATTAGACTCATACTTATGCTTTATTTTTTGCTTGTGTTCATCTCTGAAAGATTCTTCAGACAGATACTTCTGTTTAATCTTTTTCTTCTTTTCATCTCTGAAAGTTTTGTTACAGTGATACTTATGTTTCATTTTTGTCTTTTTTACATCACTGAAATCTCTTTTGAATTTGCAACCATCCATGTCATTTACATAATTCTCATTGTTTTGTACATCTTCGTATGCATCATGATCATTAATTTGTTTTCGTTTTGCTTTCATCCTTTCTTTAGCTAATTGTTGTCGTTTTTTTAAGGACTGCTTATATTTGCTTTTCTTGTTTTCTTTTTTAATTTGTTTTTGAGGAAATTCAATTGTAGACCCTTTTACTGGAATATTTGTACCTTGAAAGTTAGCACTAGATTGTGTTTTCTTTATACCTTTCAATAAATCAAATGAAAGATTCTTTATTTCAGATTCAGATAAACGTACAAGTCTAATTGACACTTTTTTCAATACAATTTTTTCATTCCGTATCTTTAAAGGGTCATTTCCAATGAACACGTTTCCTTTATTTAAAACATCAGCAACACCTCTATTCATAGTATTACAATTGTCTGATGGATAACTTGTAATTTTAGAAGCTGATTTTTTATCCCTCTCATCGTTTTCCAGTTTTGGTTCTTTGTTTTGCAATATCTATGCATTTTTGGAAAAGACATCTTTTTCGACTTAGCACACTTTACACTTTCATGAATTGTGTCACCTTTTCTCTTTCTTTTGGACATAAACATGTCTTCACTTTTTCCGCTTAGACTTGGCATAAACGTTTCTTCAATTTCATCTTTTGTTGCACAAGATGCATATTGTTTGGATAGTTTACTTTTGTCTTTAAGCATTTCACTATTAATAGATCTCTTTTTATTACATGTAACTTCCTTTGTTTTTTTTCCTTCGTCTGTAACCAAATCAATACAATTAACAGATTCAACATAATCAAAATGTACCCCTTTAACATGTAATAGATAAATGCCCATA